ACAGTACGTATGTACAGTCAGACAGTACGTATGTACAGTCAGACAGTACGTATGTACAGTCAGACAGAAGGGTAGACGGACATGGCAAAATCGACTCAGCTCGTCACGCTAATCATTTATATATATACTTCAGCGGGTCTCTTGTGCTTTCTTTGGAGTGTTACAAACTGCGTGGCAAACTTAATATACCCTGTTCAGGGTATAAAAATATTCATTGGACAGTGTTTTGACAGCACTTTTGGAATTCTCACCGATTATTAGTGAAATCTTTTCAAAGGCCTACTAATCGACTAACTTAAATATATGTTCAAAACGTCGATAAGCCTTTATAAGGATATCTACTTATTATACATTACGATGATTGAAAGTTTCTATAGTTGAGCCACCCAGAATAACAAAAGACGCTCAAAATATTTTCGTAAGAATCTTAAGCTTTTCTTTAGCAGTTGAACATTATGATACTGGTAGATATAAACCTGATATTTATTGTATGTTAACCTACATGAATACGGATCTAATCCCTATCGGTATGACTTTTATACGATTTCTCTTTTTGCTGCCTAATATCTCAGTGTCATGAAACCATTATGTTATTGATTAGAATTATGTTTTGTATAAAAAATATGCTGGATGCAAACTCTATTTAGCTATGTTCCTGAAGCAAAAAGTGGAAAAGGTTTAATTTTATGATTTTTTTTTTTTAAATCAGTAAAGATTGTTCCCTTCAAAAATAAAACAGACGTCTGAACCTCATTTCATGAACTTTTCGTCATTCTAGCCGAGCCTCGTGAATACAGTGATATGCAGTAGCTTCTACAGTTAGGTTAGATCTGAGAATGATGTATGAAAACTTCTTTAGGGCTAGATATGAGGATGATCTATTAAAGCTCAACTTTTCTGGGATAAATTAAATATATTTTAATGGTTTATGACTTTATAACGACAATCTCTCTATAAAGTTTTAAAACCAATTTCCATCTAAAAGTCCAACTGTGAAGTAAATAATTTAATAAAAATTTTAATTGAACATACTATCTATTAAGTATATACCATACTTACATTTGAACAATTAGGTAATTAAAAGAGAAAGCCGAGAAAAGCAAATATATGCCTGAACCCTATTCGACCTCAATTTCAATCATCTGCCTGATTGCCTCCTCCGCAAAACCACAAATAAACAATATTCTATAAAATCCGAAAAGCACAGCGCAAATTATCTGACTCATACCTACATTTGTTGTTTTTGATTTAATATAAAGAATTTTGCAATTTATTTCTACATATTTTCTGGCATTTGGCGTGAGTAATAATTTTCCAACACCACCACTATATTTATTGAACAGACAAAACAAAGTGAAATGGAAAAATAAATTACAAATTGTTGCAACTGACTCTGAATCTGATGAACGAAAATAGCCGAAAAAAGAAAACCAACAAGCAAAAAGTAACAGAAAACATTAAGAAAATTAATTACTTGTGTTTTCGTTGAACAAGTGTGGCAGCTGGCGTATAGAAGTATCAATATTATGCACTTTGTCTTATGTGACGGAGTAGCCTGACAATTGTATTTGAATTGTAGCGAAAATTTTTAAACGATTTGTACGTGCTCACTTCGTGATTTTTCTTACTGGAATAATTTGCATATGAGCATAGGTCATTTCACATTTTTCGTCTATCGTTTTGGTAGTCGGTCTGTTTAGTCTGCTTTATGTTTAAAGCATTTCAACAATACGCCGCGCTTTGGTAGAGAAACGCCTTGTACAATTGTTTATTCTTTGTCGATTTCGGTATATGTTTTCACAAAAAAAGAAAAAAAACGATGTTGCTTTTATGTTTTTGCACTCATCAGTGTCTGTTAATCTTGAACTTTGGAGAAAAATTATAACAAATATTTGTTTAAAAAAGATGAAAAATTGTCGGAATATTTCAAAGTCTCTCCGGCTG